TTTAAAACTTAAATATAGTGGATGAGAGAGGGCATATGTAAAAGATGTGAAATCCTATTCTCATATGAGTTACTATTTAAGAAAAAGGGACAAATAATAAACAAATAAAAAAACCAATAAATTTTTTAGTGTGTTGGGGGGGTAATAGGTACAAAGAAGAAAAAGATAGCGAGGTAAGGAAATAAAGAGTGACTAAGTTGTGTGCATTGTTTTATATAGGTTGATGGGAAAGCTCTCTATGATTTGACACTTGAGCAGAAAGAAAGTAAGATCTGAAGGAAATAAGAGCAGGAAGCCATAACCATATCAGTGGGCAGAAAAAACAGCATATGTACGTGCCTTGAGGCAAGGTAATGATTGGTGTATGTAGGAACAGCCAGGAGACCCCAGTGACTGGCATGGAGAACAATGGCAAGTAATGAGATCAGACAGGTATTAACTAGAAGCCCTCTTATCTGATGCAATTGTGACTATAATTCTTTAGTTAATCAAAACTGATTAAATCAGGGACTCATATGATAGGTACATAAACGTTTTGTTTTTGCCTTAAATAAGGTATAATTTATATAGAATGAAATGCATAGATCTTAAGTGTACAGTTCAATGAATTTTGACAACTGTAAAATCCTGTGTAACTCATACCCCATCAGAAACTACATCTATAACATATATTTGAGATTATTAAATATAAAATATATTTGTAATGCTCACAAATATTAAATATATTTAATATTAAATATATTTGTGATTTAATATTAAATATATTTACAAATATTAGATATATTTATGATGCTCATCTTGCCTCTCAACCCCTTGAATACATACATACTGAACATATACTACTTCCAGAAGGGTGGTGAAGAGAATCCTCATTCTTTTTTCTTGTTCTTTTGAAGCTGTTCATGATGATACCAATATTACTATTACTACTAATAATAACTAATGTATAATGAGATCTTCCTATGTGTCAGGCACTGTTACAAGAGCTTTACATGTATTAATTCATTCTGTACTCAGCATAGCCTTATGAGGTAGCTACTAGTGTTCATATTTTGTGACTAGGAAAACAGAGGCATAGAACATTTAAGTAACTTGAGTTAAGCCATACAATTAGTGAGTGTTGTAACCCAGTTTCAAGTCATGGTATTGTAACTCTGCAATATATATTTTTAGATCTTATGCCTCCTAATAGTCAAATTTTATGTTATGAATATTTGAACTTTCCTTAGTTTACGTGCAAGTGAGGGCATATTTTTTTGCTTCTTTTTTACCATCTTTCCACATAAGGCATTCATTTAACATTATCTTTGTCTGCTTATTTGTCTCTTAAAGTATCTTTTCATGTAGCATGATTTTTACAGTGGACTCTTTGGTTTAGGCTGTGGGTAGTTTGCTCTAGTCCACCTTACTTTTGGATCTTTATTGGTACAAAGGTCAGTCTTCTTGTCAATGGGACCTGTAGCTAATTCAGGATATTTTTTCAATGCTTTCTCACTAGATTTATCAGTCCTTAAATCAAACTCTGTAAAATTGTCAGTCATTATTTCACAGAAGCTCCTGCATAGCTATTTAAAACATTTAAAGTTATGTTGAGTGCTTGAAAGTTCTGGGAGTACAACCAGCGTCTTCCACTAATTCCCAGGGTCCTTTGGCAGCCTCAAGTATCTGTTGTTGTTAGTGTTGGGCGGAACCCTGCCCAGTCTTTTTGCGCTGTCCTCTCACCTTATGGTGCTCTATCAGACAATGTTCTGCTGCTATTCATAGGGTTTTCATGGACAATTTTCTCGAAAGTGAGCCTTGAGTATAGCCTCATAGGTAAATTTGCACCTATTATGCAGTTTTCCACAAAAGTAAAGATATGACTACAGATAAAAATACGTCATAGCAACCAAACTACTCCCTGGGTAAGAGATAACTTTCTAATTAAAAACAAAAACAAAAGCAAAAACATCTTTCTTCTTGTTTTAAAAACATAGTTACCAAACTCCTCAGCTTTATCTAGATTTTATTTTTTATATTTGAAATCTATTTTTGATAAAGATGGTAAAAATGGTGCATATTTTCACAAAAATCCTGTAATATCTCATAGCATATATGGCTGATACCATTACTTAGTGGGCAAGAAGAAAAGGAGAAGCATTCCGACTAGCAAGAGGGTATTTGATAGTTTTCTAACTCTTGAAGTTTTCCTGTTTAGAGAAGTATTTTTAAAGAGGGAAATAACTGGGCTCAAAAGTTTTTGAAACAGTTAGAAAAGGGGTCGTATTTTCGGATAGAAGAGCCTGTAGTTTATGCATAGTTGGTCATGCTCCATATTGGCTTGCTTGGCAAGCCAGGGATATTGTCGAACTTGGATTTGGCTTGAGAAACAGAGCAGTGTTTGCAAATAAATAGGGGCTTACTGGAATAAAAACATAATACAGATGCTGATTCTCTTAAATAAACCTGGGCCACCAACTGTGCTTATGTTGGTTAGTGTTACTGTGTATATTGTAGCAGCCTTCTGCTCAATCAGTTTTGTTCTCATGAAAAGAAGAATATTGGAACACAGTATATGAAATTTACTATTTTACAAGAGCCACCAGATAAGACTCTTATGAATGATAAAATTTAGTATGTTTCCAAGGTAGAGGTGTTTTCAAGGTAGAGAGAAAATTAAGAACTTGAAATATGTAAGGAAATTCTGTTTCATAAATAAACAAAAATTTAAACAGTAACTTAGTTTTATTACATAAAATACTGTAGTAAAGTTAGACTTCTCTCAGTGTTAATGTCTTGATGTATAGATCTAGCAGGCTATGAAATTAGAATAATTTGAATAATGCTTGAAGTGGCAATAAGATGTGATTTTGACTTTCTATTATAGCTAAAGTTTAAATTAAATTCTCAATAACCTCAACTGTTAGGCTCTTATTAGGAAATGACTTATCTTAGACATTTTAATATTTAATATTAAGCTATTTCAGATTTTCCATTATAATAATATTCTTCATATTTTCTTTTAAAAGTGTTCTCATTCTTTATCCTGCTTAAGCTTCACAATATTTTGTGAGCTGGATAGGACAGGAAATATAAGTCAAGAAAATGAAGCACAGAGAGACAAAATGCCTACCTAAAGTCATCTTTTCTTTTTATGACAGAGCCAGGGTTGGTGCTGTTTATGTCTTTTGTTATAGGTCTTTATAATAAAAGATCTTATATGATATATAGATCTGATGTAATATATAGATTTTTTTTTATTACAGGATCTTTTATTTTACAGTATTCCTTCTAAATCTGGGGATGGCCATTTGGTAACCATCAGTGTTATATATGCGTTTTCCATGGGATTTTTTCCTACAGTAAACTGAAGGGACCTACTGTATCTTAGGACCAAAGAAAGACAAAAAACTTGATAGCTTGAATTGTTTCATATCCCGAATTCAGTAAAGCATATCCAAAGTAACAGGAAATATATGGAGGAATCTTTCCCTTGTTATCAGGTTTGGAGGCTGAGTTCCAATGTTTAATTATAATTTTTGCGGAAAAGTGTGTTTGCAATGGAGGAAACTAGATAATTAGCATGCCATTTTATTTCGAAAAAAAAAAATAATGGCAGACAAACTCCAAATATCATGTATTCCTGAGATCTGCACATTTTGCATCTTTCTTTTCTTTTTTTTAAAATATGCTGAATAAATGTAAATTTTATGTAGCTGTTGAACATAGGTCCTTTGTTATAATAATTATATTTTTAACTGTCACTCTATGTAAATTTTGAATTTGTTACTGGTTTGGGTAGGTTGCAACAGGCAACAGCATTTGTCTTCTTTATGATGCAAAGTCAGCTGCCATTAATTTAAAGAGCTTCTGCCTCAGCAAATTGTACTTTGATGTTTTTATTTTGAGACAAATGTTTATGAAATTTCAAAGCGTTTTTGTATTTAATAGCTGTTCTCCTCAAATATCTGTCAAAACTATGTTACTTATTCACATTAATTAATTTATACTTGAGTTGGTATTACTTTAAATGCAGCAAATGATATGAGAATATTTTTGGTTTGATATATTGACTGTGTAGATAGAAAGGAATTAACCAGGTAGTTATTGCTGTATATAGTATAAATAAAACAAATATGTATATGGTGTTAATTCTACACTTACTTTGAATATCTCTCAATAATTGTGCAAGTCTTTGTTACGCCTTTTAGACTTCTTGCTCTGGTTATTTTAAGTCACTATACACTAATATGTTGTTTCTCCTGTGATAAATTGTTTGAATATATGCTATTCATTCTAAAATACACATCTGTTGTGAATACTTTCTGTGCAGACCAGATGGGGTTTTTAAAGCTGAATAACTGTTGATTTATTTCATGTAATTGCCTTATTTGAGAATCTTGAGAATTTTTTTTTCTGTTTTATATCTTAATATTAATGACTATCTGTTCTGCAAGATGCTTTACAAGCATTATCATACTTAATCCTTATAGCAAATCTTTAGATTTGGCATTGTTATTCTCATTTTATAGATGAAAAAATTGAAACTTAGAAAGGCTCCCGCAGTTAGGAAGTGAAGAGACCCTGGCGTGTCTGTGGGTAAAGGCCAGCTCTTAGCCGCTACAATATATTGTATCACAAGATGATTTTTATTTTAGCAGTATTGGCCCCTTGGAAGTGCTGAATCAGGATAAATTCAGAACTGCACTATTTGACAGCCTGATGCTTTATAACATCATGATAGGCCTTTGAGGAAAAGACAACACAATTTGAAGAAATCAGATAGTCGTCAAGGGCCTAGCAGAGTAGTGGCAAATCTAGGATTAGCTTTAGAATTTTAGCCACCTGGCTTGCTTGCAGCTTTCTTTTATTGGGCTTTTAATTCTGAATTTGAAGGCTGAGTGCTGATGTATACAGGAACATTAAATAAGTCACATATTTCATGTTATATCTCCTTTATGTAAAACAAACTGTCAATAATTAATTTTTTTCTTTTTCTTTTTCTTTTTTTTTAAATACAGTGGGATGCATCTTGCTTTTATCCTGGAGTTTACCTCTGTGGCGTGGATTTGTCACAGTGGCGTCTGTCTTCGATCTATGTGTTAACTAGAAATCAAGGAAAGACATGAGGAGGTTTGTTTACTGCAAGGTGGTTCTAGCCACTTCACTGATGTGGGTTCTCGTTGATGTCTTCTTGCTCCTCTACTTCAGTGAATGTAACAGATGTGATGACAAGAAGGAGAGATCCCTGCTACCTGCTCTCAGGGGTAAGTGCTTATGAAGCAGATATTATTTTTAGAGAGATGAGAAGGATGGTGATTCATGGCAAAACATGAAACTTTAAAATGAGAGTTGTTTGAGCTTATTGAGTTAGAAGAGCATTTTGGCCGAACTATTAATGTACATTTAACCATGGGAAAGCTACTTTACTTTTCTTGGCCTCAGGTGTCTTGTTGGAAGAAATGAGGAGAGTTAGCTAACCTCTTAACTTCCAATTCTAATGATTCCAACATCCTGTGACTGTAGGGGAGGAACATTTTAGTGAACATTCAAATTGGACAGAATTTTAAATTTAGGCTTCCAGAAGCAAAAGCCTTAGAGACGAAGCACATAACATAAAAAGCAAAAACTACTAAAGTGAGTTGGTGGGGATTGTAGCAAAATGGGACTACACATGACATTCCTAAAGACTTCCAAAAGCAATAAACAAACAAATAGCCAATTCTTCAAACAAAACACATATTGGTGGCCAGATTCAACCAGATCATTGCCCTGTGTTAAGTGCAAAATATAATTTCAAGTTATTATAAAGTGACTTTAACTCAATATTTTCTTCTTTAGGGATCAGTTTCAATGACTAGATGAGTGAATTCTAAAGAAATATAATGATTTGTATAAATGGTGACTTATTAAGTAAAGCCATAGAGATTCGTTTCCTGCAGAGTGATTCTAAATAATTTTCTCTATGCGTTTTCTTGACTTCTAGATCTATAAATATATTTCTGAAATATTCCTAATAAATGAGTACTTCTAAAATATTTATGGGTGCTTGAAATTAGTTTTATTCTCATTAAATTTAACACTTTCTTTCTTGAAATCTAGTTTACATTAATGCTCTGCTTAGCAAAATTGTCTTCATAAATATGACAAAAGGTAAACTTTGAGTCCCAGTTGAAATGTTTGTACTTTTGGTAAAGTGAATCTAAATTTCTGAGTTGAGATTTGCATTTATTTAGTGAATAGAATCTACTTTTAATGTTACAGATATTTTTGAGATTATTTATTAATCAAAATATGCTAATAAACAGAATCTCATTGATACTATCTGGTTGTATGAGGTTTAAGGAAACACTGAAGAGCATTTCTAAAAATTAATTTTTGTTGAAAGACTACTTTGGACATCCTGAGTTTGCTTTAGATTGCAATAATGTTCTTGCTCAATTGGAAAAATGCTGATTATCTTCTTCTTTTCAAAATGAGTCTCTCTCTCTCACTGTAGTTTTTGACTAGTGCAAAGAATTGAGAGAAAGTGCTTTAGAAGTGACTTAGCCTAGACTCATTTAGGTAGTTTATATGCATTTTTTATGCGTTTCTACTCGAATTATTCAAAGAGGAGAACTTTATGAGACAATCAGTTTTTGATAAATGAACATGGGGATTGATTTGCTGATCTTTGGGTAAAATCTCGGAATAAATGAGCTTTCTCTGCTTCTTTGTTAGAATCAATTGAGCTGCTGCTTGGCTGAACGTAAAAATGTGTTTTGATGGATCACATCGGTTTGGAATGATCACTTTGTCATTTGTTGGACAGAGACAACTAGATGGGTCACAAAAAATGTTATAATCTGATTCAGCAAAATTATGACAGATTTTTCTGCTGTCATAGTACCAAAAAAGTATAATTTTGCTGATTTAAGTCCTTAATGATAAGTCTTAAATCTCAAAATGTGAAATTTAATGATGCAAGGCAAAAATAGTAATTTTTCCTTATACTTAAATGGTAAAATTAAACTATGTTCTTTTTATTTTTAAGACTTATTTAATGTTGTACATTATTTTTGTCTTGAAAAAATGGAAATATACTTTAGGGTTTTAATTTCATTTTCTATTGTTACTTATTATTTCAGAATATTATTTTATTTGGGAATTTGTGGCATGTATTTAAAATAATTATTTACAGGCAGATGATGCTGTGCAAAGTGCACTTGACTGAAATTTTCATGTTCTAAATATGCTAAAAACAGGCTTTTTGAAAAAGCAAAAAAATTGTTCTTTCTGGACCTATGTGTCTCCATTATTAAAATAAAGAGTTTGGAATAGGTAGTTTCTAAGATCCCTTCTAGTTCTAAATTTTAAGCAATTTTTAAGTACCCAATATTAGCATACACTCTGAATTAATTTTTGAGAGACATTCATTCATTCATCACATTATCAATAATTGAAATGCCTATCAATCAACATGTTGTATACCTTAAGCTTACACAATGTTATGTGTCAATTATATGTTAATTAAGAAAAAAAAAGCACATAGCCTCCTGATGGGCAAAGAGAAAAGAAATCCCAAGCATCAGGACCTCTGAGTTCACAGGTGGTATAACCACATAGTTAAAAGCCCAGGCTTTGTTGACCAACCTGGTTCTCACCTCCTCCCCATTGAGCTAGTTGTGTGACTTTTGACAGATTCCTTGACAAAATCTTAATGCTATTATTTAAAATGACAACCTTAGAGGCAATAAATTCTGCTTCACAGGGTTGCCTTGAGAATTAAATGAGATGATGTGCATGAACCCCTCGGTGGAGTATTGGTTCCTGGTAACCCTTTATCAATATTTGCTAAATGGTGTGAAGCTGCTTGAAAGATCTGAATGAGGCTCCATCAGGCCTGCTGTCCAGAGTGAGTCAGGTGCACAGCAGGGAGCCAGGAGGAGAAGTTATTCTGGGTGCAGCCCCAAAGAAGGAAGCGACTCTTTAAAAAAATTTATTTGTTAAGTGCCTACTATGTGCTAAGACCTGGAGATACAAGGGAACTGAGGTCCCCACTGTCATGGAGCTTATAGTTAATAATAAAGTAAACATTTCTCTCTCTATCTCTCTGTAAAAACGTAATTTACAAATGATTACAAAGCATAATGGGTATAATGGGTATTAGGATGAGGAAGAAAGATGCTCTGAGTAGAGGAAAATGGATCTAGGGTATTAGATAAAACTTCACAGGGACTGTAGCATTTAAGCTGAAGTCTAAAACATAAAAGTAGGAAATAACTAGTTGAAGAAGGAAATACTAAAATTATAATGGAATTCTAAAGATTACAAGAAACTTCTGAAGGAGAAAAATGCAGAGGTCTTATAAAATTAGAGTACTTAAGACTTGTAGTATTGGTACAAAGAGACACAAAGGGTAGACACATTGCCCAATGGAACAGAATAGAGACCCTAGAAGTTGACTCACACATGTCTGGAACATTCCGTATATGACAGAGGAAGCACTGCAGATCAACGGGAGAAAGAAGGGCTCTTCAGTAAATGGAGCTAAAAATAAAATGGTAATCCATGTAGAAAATAGATGAAATTGGATGCCTAATTCATGTCATAAACCAAGATAAACTTTGGATGTATTAAGTCAACATCAAAACTCAAACTTTTAGAAGGAAAATGTTTAGGCTTCTATAAGGAAAAATTCTAAAACACTACACATAAAACATTGACCATAAAAGAAAATATTGATAAATTTGGCTATGTTAAGATTGAGAAAGTTGGTTCTTTCAAGTATACCTTAAAGAAAGTAAAAAGAGAAGTTACAAACTGTAGAAGATGTTCAAAGAATATGCAACTGAGAGATTATTATCTAGTATATACTATAAATAACTCTTATTATTAAGAAAATCCCAAATAACTCAATAGTAAAAAGTGGGCAACAGACAAGAATAGACACTTCTTAGAAAAGAAAACACACATAACAAAATAACTTATGAAGAAATTTAACATTAATTGTGATCAGGGGAATGCAGACCAAGGCTACAATCACATATTTTTATCCATTCAATTGGCAAAATTAAAAAGGCTGGTAATACCAGTTGTTAGAGATGATGCATTGCCACATTTTTATGGTAACTTCAGATAACAGTTTGGCATTATCTCTGAAATCTGAACATTCATATATGACCCAGCACTCATAGTCATATACTCAAGAGAATTTCTTCCACATATACAAATATTTCATAATACTACTGTTCATGAAAATAAAAGCTGAAAATAACCCGTAGGCCTATCAATCGAAAAGCTGATGAATAAATAGTGGCATATGAAGAGAATAATATATAGTAGTCAAAATGAATGAATTACAGCAACTACGACCACTATAAATGAAGCTTGACGATACAATAGTAAGGTAAGTATAAAAGTTACATCCTTCAAAGGTGATATACAGCATGATACAGTTTGAAAAGCTAAAACCAACTAAAATTTAAAAATATTCATTTTAGGAATATATAGAGATGCAAGAAGACTTTATATAAAGCAAGTGAGGCTAATTATGAACATGGGATTTAGGATGTTGACTGTCGTGTGTGTGGGGAGATAGAAGCATGAGATGGGGGTGAACCTTGTGACTCGATGTAGGGCATCACTAGAGTCCTAGACTTGTTTTGGATGTGAGTTTGGTGTGTCTATTACATTATATGGATAAGTAAGTGAATGAGTAAGAGCCACTGAATGGATTTGAAAACTGGGAAGCCCTTGAATGGGTCAAAAGATAGAGCAGACATGATCACCTTTGTGTTATGGAAAGATCACTATGGATTCTTTGTAAAGAATGGTTTGGAGAAGAGCCAGTCTCTTCAGGGAGGCTGGGTAGGAAACTTGGCAACATTCCATCAGTTCTGTGTGGGAAGTGATATCGGCTTAGAGCAGAGTAGTAGCAGTGAGATGTGAGAGAAGTGGGTAAAATGAAGAGGTATTTGAGATACGAGAGTAAGAGAGCTGGATACTTGATTGGCTTTGGAGGATGTGGGAGCTGGAAGTGTCAAGGACAAGTCTCCGGTTTCTTGCATAGCATTATTTGATCTAGTTTCCTGAGAGGGGAGAATGTAGGAGGAGATGATATGAGGGTGGACACTGAGTTTATTTTAGACATGTTGAGTTTGAGACGTGTTAGACAACTGAATGGAATTGTTCGGTAGGAAGTTGGCTACATTATCAAACTCTAAATATCAAGCTTAAACCACCACTTTATGGACATTTTTTCCCTAACATGAATTACATTCTTCTC